CAAATGGAGTGTTCAGGAATGATTATCATTTACAATCATCACGGACCTTCAGTAGTTGACTTCACGGATAAGAAGTTTCTGTTCTTTCCATCAACACTATGGAGATGTTTGATGGAGATGAAAAGAGTGAAGGCATATCAGTTTGGGAAATGGGTCCTCTCTCTGGCGTCAATGCCGTTCCTTCCTTCCTTCATACATTCAGCAAGCATTCCTGATACACTTACTATTTGGCAGTCTTTATATTAAATGTTTGTGACTCACTCAACAATAAACAAAGTATAGGGAACCCCCTTGTCTCATGGAACTTGCTTTCTAGTGGGTACAGAGACAGCAAACAATAGACATAATAAATAAGCGGATTATAGAGTATGCTGAATGAAAATACCTACTTTCAGTACAGAGAATGGCTCTAATGACAAAGCGGAAAGGTTTGACTATTATTGGAATTTGTGCTTTTCCCCTGAATAAAATAGAAGGTCACCTGAGAGTTTGGAGGAAAGGTGGACATAATCTAAGTTGCATTTTATAAGGTTACACTAACTACTCGGCTAAAAATAGACTGTGGGTGTTAGGGGTATAGAAACGAGACAAAAACAGTGTGGTGGGAGCTGGAGAGAGAGAGGAAGGCTAGACCCAGTGTGGTAGTGAGCGGAGGGACAGATTCTAAATATGTTTTGAAAGGAGATCCAAAGAGATTAAATTTACTGGGCAAAAGATAGCTGTCAAAGATGACTTCTAGATTTCTGCCTGAGCAATTATGAAAGTTGCATGTGGAACAGATTGAAAGAAAACGATCAGACATTCATTGTTGCTTGTATTGAGTTTGAGATGTCTCTTAGACATACAAAGAAAGATGTTGAAAAAGCACTTGAATATGAGTCTGGAATTTAAGAGTAAGACCTGGAAGGAGATGTTTAAGGTTCATCAGCATAGAGATAGTATTTGAAGCCAGAGACGTTAGATTGAGAGAAGAGGACCAAGAACTGACCCTGAAATGCTCCAATGTTTAGAATTCAAGGAAAATAGTAGAAACCAGAAATCAAGACCAAAGAAGGAATAATTGCCAATCTGGGTATAAAAGCAAGAAAGTGTGGTATCTTGGAGTTTGTATAAAGGACGATTATTAAAGAGAGGCTGGTGTTCCACTTTGTTAAAGAGATTGAGAAGAAAGGGGGGCAAAAAGATGGAAGAACATGGGGGTCATGTTGATGTTGATGTTGATGGGAGGAGTTTTGCTACAGTGGTGGCTAGCAAAGCTTTCCAGAGCTAGGTTTGATGGAAATGAGAAGAGGAGAGAGCGAGAGAGAGAGAGCGAGAGAGAGAGAGCGAGAGAGAGAGAGAGAGAGAGAGAGAGAGAGAGAGAGAGAGAGAGAGAGAGGAGAGGAGAGGAGAGGAGAGGGAGGAGAGGAGAGGAGAGGAGAGAGAGAGAGAGAGAGAGAGAGAGAGAGAGAGAGAGAGAGAGAGAGAGAGAGATTAGAGGGGACAAAGAGTTAAAGTGATACTTGAAAGTGAACATAGTGCTAAGAAAAATGTTTTTATTATTGAGCGTAGTTCTTGATAGCTATGACATAAGAGATGAATAACTGATTATGTTCATTAACAGTCAAAAGGGGTTGACTTCTAGTGTAGAAATGGGAACATGGGACAAAGATGACACATGAATTGTTAAGCTTTTGAGTAAAGATCTAAAGAATATGGGTGAACTGGGGATATTAAGATAGTAGGAAGAGACATGGAAACATGACAGATGAAAAGTTCATCTACCTTTAATGGGAAATAAAGCAGAATACATGGATACAGATGTAGGTAAGTGGAGTGTGGCTAAGGAACCCAGAAGTTCTCTGATAGCTGTAATATGCTCACAGAGGTAAGAAATCGGCCCAGCAGTTTAGTGCTACTGCTACCTTCAATATATATATATATATATATATATATATATATATATATATATATATATATATGTGTGTGTGTGTGTGTGTGTGTGTGTGTGTGTGTGTGTGTGTGTATGTGTGTGTGTGTTTGTGTAGATATATATACATATATATCAACCATACCACCACTTTCTTACTACTTCAGCTGATGTCATTTGGTCTAAGTTCTGAACTTTCATCCAAAATTTGCAACTGTTTCTCCTTATTGGTCTCCTTGATTCTGCCCTATTATTTATATATTTCATTAAAACTGAGGACTAATTGTCTTACTCATCTGCTCCAATCTTCAATAGATTTCCATTTTCCTCAGACAAAAATCAATTCTTGCCTTTTATTCCCACCTTCCACTTGCAGCCTCCCTTCTTGCTGTCTCCTGAATCTACCAGTTGTGACCCTTACACAAGACAAATAACTAGTCTTCCCCCATCTTATGTTTCTCATGATCTACACTCACATGTTTCTCAACCTTCACTCAAATATCTCTCAGGACCATGACACTTAAAAATGGCAATTTCTGTCTTATATTTCCTGTTGTTCTTTCTTACTCAAATTTTATAACACTTATAAGAATCTAATATCTAAGAGGTTACTCACTCACTTTTAATCAGTATTTCGCCACTAGAATATAAGTTACAAGAAAGCTAAGAGTTATGTTTTATAAAATTCCTACAATAGTATCTACTAGACCGCTTCTCAGAGGAAAATCAATGGAGAAAGGTGTATAAAGTGCCAGTAAGTGCTCTTGATTTGTATTGTAAGATTCAGCCCACACTGGCTTCTAGTAAAATGACAGACATAGTAACAGAAAGAATTATTATTGTAGCTTTTGATGTTTATTTTTTATAATAGAAATTTTCAAGTAAATACAAAAGTAGAAAGATTAGCATAAAGAACACACAATACCCCTTATATCAATCTAACAATTGTTTGCATATTGTCTGCATTAGTTTGTCTGTTTCTTCTCATTGCTAAAGTATTTTTAATGTAAATTAGAACTATGACATTTTATCCCCCAAGCCTTCCTTTACATCATTTAAAATATACAGAATATTGCCAGGCAGTGGTGGCGCACGCCTTTAATCCCAGCTCTCAGGAGGCAGAGGTAGGTGAATCTCTGTGAGTTTGAGGCTAGCCTGGTCTATAAAGTGAGTTTCAGGACAGGCTCCAAAAGCTACATAGAGAAACCCTATCTCGAACTGCAATGTCATTAACAAAATGATTCCTTAATAACATTTAATAACAGTCTGTCTTGGTTTGGGTTTCTATTGATGTATAAATACTATGTATAAAAACATCTTGGGAAAGAAATGGCTTATTTAATATTAATTAGAACTCTCAGGTCACAGTCCATCATGAAGGGAAGTCAGGACAGGCAGAAACCTGGAGTCAGGAACTGAAGCAGAGGCCATAGAGAAATGCTGCTTACTGGCTTGCTCCTAAGGGTTGCTTAGCCTGCTTTCTTATAGAAACCAGGACCTCCTGCTCAGGAATGGCACCACCCACAATGGGTCCTCCCCCATCAATCCCTAATTAAGAAAATTCCCTACAGGCCTGCCTACAACCCAATCTTATGGAGGAATTTTCTCAACTGAAGTTCCTTCTTCCCAGATGACCCTGACTTGTATCAAGTTGATAAAAAAAATACCTAGCCAAGACATAGTCCATATTGAAATATTATTATTCAAATTATGCTAATAAATCAGTAGAGAGTTTAAGGAAAGTTTGAATCAAACCCCCATTTGTAGGTCCAGAATTCCTCACCCAATTCACTGGATAATTAATGATTTCCTCCTTACAAAGTAAATCCCCTAAACAGATGAAATTAACAAATTATGACAGTTATATGTTTTCCAGGACATAAATTTGACACATTACAATATAAAGGGCAAGGTATATTTGCATAGTACAAGTATTTATCTTGAAATTATGCTTCTTTACCTTTCATTATATCCTGGAGCAATTCTGCCTGTGGACTCTGTCTCAAGTGGCATAATAAAGTTCCGGTCAGCTGTCACCACCTCCCACAAATTTACCTCTGAGCCTGTGTCAAAAGACTCTACTTGTTGTCCTCATAGAGTTTAACTGTGGCTTGGGCAGACTCCCCCCACCACCACCACCCCCCACCCCCACCCCCAGTGTCTAATCCCTTTTAGCCTCTCAATAGAATGTGTTGTGAGAGCAGGGCAGGAGCCGGGCTCCTGGGCTCCAGCATCTGTAATACTCAAAGTGCACATTTGGTGGAAAGCAGTAAGGGCAATGTCCCAGTTGGTACTTAGCTTTGTCTTCAGTAGAAGATGATGGCCAGTAACCCTTTATCTCTTAGTGACTTTAAACTACCATCTCAGTGATTGCTTTATTTTTTTAACTGAAAGTATATTTTTTTGTATAGGAAATGGCCAATATTAAATGTGCCATTCAGTGTTGAGAAATGCACATGTCTGTGTAATGTATAAACTCTATGAAGATGTAAAATGTTTCAGTTAACCCAGAAAACACTGCAGTGCCCCTTTCCAGTCAATCACACCCTCCCAGCTACAGCAACAGCTATCTCAATTACTTCTCCTCCAGATACTCAGTCCTAGACATTCCCTACACTAAATATTTACCCTTTCATTTAGCATAACCTTTCTGAAGGGTCATTCCTTTTTTATTACTGATTAATATACCATTGTAACCCAGGATATCCCGTATAACTCCAGTTTATTTCTCTGTCCTCCAAGAAGAATATCTTTCTATAATTTGAAGAATTAAAAAGTAGGCATAGTTCCCCAAAGGAAACAATGTCCAATTATTGCCATCTCCTGAAAAGGGTTGGGGAGATAAGCATGCATTCAAAAGGAAGTTAAGTGGTTTGCGTATTCATATTTTTTGTGTATTTTTTCATATTCATCTCTCAATTTATCATTTTGCTCTGCTTGGAAATTCCCTACAGAATGGTTGAAGAGCTTTAAGGTGGAGACTTTCTATGGAGGTGGTACTAGTGCCGATGCCTCGTGATTTTGTTTTGCACTTTAGTTCTGTTTTCAAACAAACAAACAAACAAACACCTTTCTTTTTCTTTTGCTGCAGGTTTTGCTCTTCTGGGAGGACACCCTTGTTTTCTTACCACACAAGACATTCATTTGGGGGTGAACGAAAGTCTCACGGACACAGCTCGGTTTGTAAACAGTTTTTTTCTTTCAAACTCTGATGGATTCATTTCAAAAAGAAGATGATGCTCCTCCTTAAATAATGGTTTCTCCTCTCATTGTCCTTTGTACTCTCCCATTTACTGGACTCTTTGCCTAATGTTTGAAATGCCTCTTTCATCCTGTAGCCCCTTTCTACGAGAGTCTTAGTTTGCTTCCATTGCTATGGAAAAAGCAATTTGGGAATGAAAGGGTTTATTTCATCTTAAGTCCATCATGAAGGAAACCAGGGCAAGAACTCAAGACGGAAACCTGGAAATGGGAACTGAAGCAGAGGCTGTGGAGGAGCACTGCATGCTTGCTCACGCCTCCTGACTTGCTCAGCCTGTGTTCTTATACCATCCAGGACCACCTGCCCAGGGGTAGTATCACTCCCAGTGAGCTGAGCCCTCCTCTATTGATTGGCAATCAAGAAAATGTCCCCCCAGGCAATCTGATGGAGGCCTTTTCTCAGCTGAGGTTCTTCTTCCCATTTGACTCTAGCTCGTATCAAGTTGACACAGACACAAAAATCTAACAAGGACAATGGTTTAAGTCTTTTCCTTAGCAATTTATTTATTTTTTATGTATCTGGTTGACCTGCCTGCATGCATTTCTGTGCACAGGGTAAATGTCTGGTGCCCTCCGAAGCTAGAAGAGGGCATTGGAAATCCCAGGATGGGCATTACAGAAGGCTGTGAGCCATCATGTGGGTGCTGGGAATTGAACCTGGATCTTCTGGAACAACAACTGATGCACCTGTCAACTAAGCCATCTCTCCATCCTTCTTGTCAATTTTATAGAGGTGTATTAAAAATTTCCAAATTTAATAAAATTTAAAAATTATCAAAATGACTCTTACATTTAACAATCAAGAAAGTGTGAGTCTAAGGAAACTTCCATGTTCAATGGCTCATAGCTCATCTGTATCAATAATACGAATAACTAGCGTTCATCTGATACTATATGGGCAAGTATTATTCTAACTTGTTTAACCCTAGTAAGAGTCCAAATAGATTGACACACAAAAGTGAAATGACATAATCAGGAACATACATACTAATTGAGAAAGCAGAGAGTTTCAAATGCCAAGATATTAATATAGTATAGATATTCCTGATTGGTAAAAGAAAATGACAGACCATTAAAATTCACTTAGAAATTCTGGCACGAATGGCTCTCCCATATTCAATATGTAGTTTTCAAGGTCACCGTGGATATCAACCTCCAGTCAAAACCTAGAAGAGAGCATGGCAAAGCTATATTTGCTTCAAAGTATCTTACAGAAAAGAACCACAATCAATGGCAGCAACACTACATTGGCAAGTATTAGTAGCTTACATTCAGCTAGAAGAAAGTTGAGCTGGCAAATGACCCTAGCTCACTATATAATACTGAAACATTGAAACACAGGCTTTCTGACTTCCTGTGTAATGATCTTATGATTGTATCATCCTTAGCTCAGAAATATACAGTAAATGTCTTTCTTAAGTGTTTTATAGCAATACAGAAGATTAATTAATTTTCCCCTAAACATCTTATGATGCAAAGCAACTCTTTCTAGATAATGTCTGCTTTTTATTCCAGTTCCTCCAGTATATGCTAGAGAATTTGCCTTAGCTGACCTGCTCAAGAGAGTTCAACAACTCATCGTCAAGCCTTTTATGTTTGAAGTTCTTTTGTTATTTCATATAAAGCAATGAGAGTGATGTCATTGTCTTCTGGACAGTAGGGACACAAAGAATAAAGGAACATATACTAGGATATTTTTCCAAGTATGCTGCTACTAACTGAGATTATATTTATCGCGTAATTCTGATTCCACAAAAGTAAAGCACACTTAATTCATAAGCAAATAACCAAAGCAAGTGAAATGAAAAAGACAGGGCTACACCTAGGAGAGATGTTTTGATGGAGTGCCTCTCGAAAGCACTAGGTGAGCAGGAGTGAATAATTTATGTGTGAACTAATGTTGTAGAAGTACCCAGCTGAGGGAACAGCCGAGCATCCAAGAAAAGGTAAAGCAGTGCAGACTGGCAGCTAGAACAAGATTAAGGTCCAGAAATCAGTGGACTGTTAGGATGCTCAAATCAAGAGACAAACATCTAACCACAGTTGAGAGCTGGGGATGAATATAAACATGTGCTTTTCTTTGCTTTCTCTCCAAGCAATTCCCCCTGTGGGTCCTGAGAGAAGCTTGACACAGAAAAAACCAATCTATTCACAAGCTCTAATGTAATTGTGACCTTTTACGTTCATACAATTACTTCTATTGTTGTGTATGGTAGAATACGGATATAATTGGATCCATAGAATTCTTTCTGATCATGAAATCCAACTTAAAAGGTTAAATAAAAATAATAGTTACTTCTTAAAGGATGTTTACCACAGACTTCTTGTGTTACCATTGTAAAATTTTTTCGAAGTAAACATTATTGGCCCGGTTTTATAGACAAGCCATGACACACAGAAGTCATGAAACTTAGATGTCAAGTCTGGGTTTCCATGTTTTTATTACCTACTGATGCTGCTTCTATTCCACGGAAAGAAATAAGTTATAGACAATATTGACCTGTTGGAGCTCTCTAAGTCCATGCTGAGATTTGGTGAATCACTATATTAGCCCTCATAGGAATCTACACAGTCATACTCATGGTTGTGATTTATTATACCAATAAGATACCAGATACGATCAGCAATGGAAAAGACACATGAAGTAGAGTTCAAAATTCTTTTGGTGGAGCCACAGAGGATATACTTAATACCTGAGTGATGACATGTGACACTCTGTGTGAAATATTGACAAGAAAAGAGGCCCATGGTAGACTCAAGTCACAATTTTTGCTGAAGACTGGTCATATTAACACATTCCAACCAAATTCCTGCCCCCTGCCAACAGAAATCATGTGTTTATTTCAAGCCATACTGTTTATAAAAACATTTTAGGCACAGTGTTATCAGTTCCCTCAAATGAAGTTCCCAGATGTTATTCCAAGATCCAGCCTTAAATTCAGGTCTCTTAAAGGGTAACAGTCAGGTCTTCTTTGTTAATTCAAACCATTGTGTCCTCTATAAGATGAAGGAGTTTGGGTCCTGAAGAGTCACTTCAGTTCTTTAGTTTTTAAAAGATGATGTTGTCTGTTTCTTTTATTTGTGTGTGGCTAGCAGTGTGTGTGTGTGTGTGTGATCTTATATTTGTACATGTGGAGATCAGGAAACAACTCGTGGGAGTTAGTTCTTTCCTTCCTTAATGTAGATTCTTAAGATTGAAATCAGGTCACCAGACTTGGCAGCAAATGTCCTAACTCACTGAGCCTTCTCACCAGTCCTACAATTCACATTCTATTACCAAATGCATGTAGTGTGTAACATAAAGGGGTGATCCCTAAACGGAAGTGTGTCCCAATGTAAACATCTGTATATATATATATATATATATATATATATATATATATATATATATATACACACACAGATATATATCTGAACATATATAGAGTAATTTGGATTACGGTAGAAATGTAAGGTAAGGAGATTAAGGACAGGTTTTAAAACGTAAAATTCTGGCCCCACACTTACAAGTTTTGTTCCCCAGTTAAGTTTAAGATGGTTTGTAGCTTGGGGGCTCACAAAAGCTTCCTAGTGAGATCTGAGCTTGCTTTACACAGCAGGGCTGCATTAGGACATGGCTTGACTGCATGCATGGTCACCAGGTGTCTGAGATGGTCTACACTTGGCTGTGTTTGGGGGTGGGGGACGGTCTTTTGTTCTACTCCTTGGCATTCCTTTAGTAGAGACAGAAGGGGCTGGTGGGTTTTGACTCAGGCCCTCTCGAAACTGTCCTGTGCTTTCTAACTTTCTCTCTCCTCTATATTTCTATGTACATATTCCTTATTTCACCCTGCTCAAGAGTACCCTGGGGATGGAGGAAAAGAGGGAGCTGGTCTCCCTCATTGTAGGACTCTAATAATGATGTAAGAGCAACTGGAGTCACTTTGAGAGATCATGAGGGCTGGAGAGAGGGCTTGTCCAGCAAAATGCCTGCTGTGCAAGCATAGGGACTGAAGTTTTGATCCCCAGCATCCAAAGTAAAGCAAGATACTGTGGCATGAAACTTTAACCCTAGTGCTAGTGGGGAATGAAGACAGGTGCATCATTGTAGCTCATTAGCCAGCCAACCAACCTAGCTGAATCAATGAGCTTCAGTGAGATACCCTGCATTGTAGATGTAACCAACCTTCTTATTAAATAAGAAACACAGAACCAATGCAAAGAAAGCCAAGAGGTCAGAGCTAAGAGCTAAAACCTTACCCTTCCTCCTGCGGTGGTCCTACCTCTCCGAACCAGAGCTACCCCTGTGTTAAAGTCTTTATATAGAGTTCCTGTTCTGCCTTCTCATTGGTTGTAAACCCAACCACATGACCACCTCGTCACGGCCTGTCTGTATAGGCCTCCAGGTTTTCCATGACTGGTATTAAGATTAAAGGCATGTGTATCCAATAATGGCTGTATCCCTGAACACACAGAGACTTACCCAGCTCTGCCTACCAAGTGCTGGGATTACAAGAGTACACCACCACTGCCCTGCTTTCCTATGGCTTGCTAATAGCTCTGACCCCCGGGCAACTTTATTTATTAACATACAAATAACATTTTAATACAAATAAAATATCACCATACTGCATCAAATAAATACAGTGGAGAGCAAGCGAGTAAGACACCAATGTCAACTTCTGACCTCCACACACATGTGTGAATGTACATACATGAAAATGTGCATAACATATGAGAGAGAGAGAGAGAGAGAGAGAGAGAGAGAGAGAGAGAGAGAGAGAGAGAGAGAGAGAGAGAGAGAGAGTGGGGAGCTGTGTGGGAAATCTAGGCTGTTGAGCAGTGATCTATTAATGAAGTCATAGTAAATAATGAGATGGATAATAAGAGATCTGCATGGCTTCATGACAACTGATTATAAAAGGTGAAAAATAATGGT